TCCAGATCAACTCCATATTGAGATCATCCCAAATTATTTTGTGGACTTTTTTGATGTTTTCGTCAGCAACAGTGACTTCGGGAGCTATCGTCCTCGGTGCTTATTTAACCTCGTTTAAACTTGCACTTTTCAATGGTTGATTTTCCTGGTGAGAAGTCCAAATGATGTTCAAGCCAAGTCTTGGGTCTAACGGTATTTGTTTGCCAAGACTATTCCTTGGAGAACCTTTGTCACCACACAATTACATCATTATCAATGCCAAGGTCAAAGCGCGCGTGAGAAATTAGGTCGAATATCAATCATAGGATTTCAACATAATATAGGTACTAGGTTAGGTTAGGTCTAAAGTGAGTGGGTCCATTCGACACTACACCGCAACCCATAAGGGTTTATTGTGGGTAACATCTATTCATACTCGACCAAATAAACCCAGCTTCTCAACAAAGCCGATTCGTTTGTATGGTGAGTGGTCTTTCAGGCCAGATTGTGAAAGTACGGCTCTGCTGAACTCTAAAACAACTTGATTCGGTCCCCAGTGGGACAGGCACAAATTATGTGCTCTGCTGTTTCATCATTTTCCAAACAGAGGCGACACACACTGTCTTCCGGCAGTCTGAGTCTCTACATATGATGATTCAAATGACAGTGACTGTAAGAAGGACTGTTAGACATCGTTGTTCATCCCTACTGTAGTCCAACAACTATTTGGTATCAAATTTCGAAGGGTGAAAAAACGGCTTGAAGTGAGCCAATTCTTGAAGTGACTGCCAGAAGTCCATAAATCTTCTTGCCATCCAGGTGTCCAATCTTTGTTTGGCATAGCTTGAAGCGATGATGCCAATGACAGGTTCTGGTCAAATGAAGCTGCTTGCAGCACCCTCCTTTGCAAGAGAGTCAGCGGCCTCATTGCTTTCCAGGCCACTATAGCCAGGAATCCATCGATCCTTCCTATCGAGGAGAGTCGTTTTAGGCATTGTGCTACCAATTTAGACATTGCTCGGTAGGAGCCAAGACCTTCCAACGCCGCTTGACTGTCCGAGAATACTTTTATTGACTTGTGTGTGAGATTGGATTCTTCCAATTTTTCCGAACACAATTTAATAGCGCAAATTTTTGCTTGAAATACAGTTCGCATAGGTTCCTAGACAAGTTGATATCTCTGTCCTGGGCCTGCGACTGAAAACACCTGCACCAGAACCGAAAATTGTTTTTGACCCATCTGTGAACCAACAACTATCTACTCATCATCTCTACTCGTTAACAGTACTTTATAAGGCAGTTCGTAAATGACAGTTGGAGGCATTCAAGTCAGCTACTTTGAGAATGACATTTTTCAATTTGAGTATTCCAGTATCCACTCATCGACACTTTCACATATGTATCAGTTTCAGAAAATCTTGGTAATTTTTTCACAGACCTGATATCTACGTTTGGAAAAATCACTGAATATTCATCATCAATTCTGCAAATCAATTTACAGCTACCTCTAGAACAGTAACTCAACTCATTGGTTAGTCATTCAATAGTTTCACACAATTAAAAGGAATTCAATCAATTTTTTAACCAAAAATTCCTTTTCGAAACAATTCAACATTTCCATACAGTTGGTCTCACTTCAACTCCGACCATTCCTGAATTCTTTTTCATTTGAAGTAGTATTCCAAAACTAGTTTTACATCATCATGACTTACTAGATCATAATGGAAACTTGTCATTTTTTAGCAAATATCTATCTATCTCGAATATTATTCAAATCCGAAATTATATGCAGGATGTATCATTTCAACTCTAACCACTCATATATCGGTTTTGTCCAAAAAATGTTTTGTAATGTAGAGTTTGGGAAGATATATTTGTGTCACAAAATGTATCCATCTTTTTCGAAAGAACATAGTTCACGGAAATAATAACATCAACTTGATTTTAGAAAAAACTTATGACTTATTTTCCCATCGGAAACATTGGTTCAAAATTTTTTCAAAATCTTTCCACCCATTTCTAGAATATTACTGATGTAAAGAAGGTACTCTTGTTATTATTTCGTTAAAATGTTATTCAAATTTTTTTTTTCATGTAATGTATCGAAGGACGTATCTCACTGATCAATAAAACGAATTCAACTCTTCATATCGTAGATTTCATAGCAATGAAAGAAATTAATCCTACGATTTTCTGAAAATACGTAGGAATTTTTTTCAAAAAATTTATCCCAAAACTTCTGAAACACTCGTTCTAACGTTCTAACTTGAACTTTGATCACTCTTTTCATCTCTATTGTTCAACTTAGTGATCTCTAGAAGAACTTCACTATTTCAGAATGCCGCTGAATCCCCTCCCTCTAAGGAGTCGGGTAACAAAATAATGGAGTTCATGTATGAATGTATCCCCCAGGAAAGGAAAGGTTTTTTATTTTCACTCGAGAAGCCGTACATCTTGTTGGTCTGTTCTCAATTGGCTACGTTGTAAATGCTTCCTCTCCATTAAAAAACAATATAACTAATTTCGGCTGTATGTAACTATGAAAGAGATAGGGTGTTCGAAATCCATTCAATTTAATGCCAACAAATTGCTCATTTAATGAAATGAGGTAGATTGAAGAAGTGGTTGAATGTTGGTACTTCCATTGTCTAAATTTACATCAGCAAGTTTTCTAACAAAAGTTAGTTATTCCACAACGTTTCGAGAATTGTCATCCACAATCACCTTTCAGTGATGACTCAGTACATTTTCTTAAATGGTTTTATACAACATTTTCTTGTCTGGTACAGAATACGTAGATGGTATCTTAGTCTGTGTTACTGGTATAGCTAGACAATTACAGACTGTTTAATATTGCACTGTCGGAAAGTAATTTTCAGACAGAGCTGTCAACAAAATTCACAAGGTAGATATTATCGACTCCATTCTTTCCAAAAAACTACGAAAACAAATCTCGGACAAGGTATATCCAACTCCAAGAAACGATAATGTATGCTATAGGACATTTTCCATATCTTGGCGAACCCACTAGCTCATTTTCTGAAAATGGAATGCTTGGATGCGTGGCTTACAAAACTAATATTGATTTGAGTAAATTTATTGACAACAATAGAGACAAAACTTCAGTGTCGAATAAATCAGGAGTATATAAGTTGACTTGTGGCTCTTGACCAAACCTTCATGTTGGCCAAACGAGGAGAACTTTTTTACGAAGAATTGAAGATAATAAAAGTAGTTTGAGAATATTCAGAAATGAATAGATTTGAGAATTCGGATCATTTACTGAATGAACAAATAAAATTTAATAACTTCTTGTTACCTAATATTTTTTCAAATGTGTAAATTGGTAATCAACTTATACATAAGCTCAGGTGATTCCATTCATTACATGTCCATTTGAATGTATACGTTCTCTTCATTTCTTATGTTGAAATTGATTGATTTATCTTCAAACCCAGATACACAGTTCTGTTCATTATCCTCTGTATACATTGAAACGTGAAAAAGTATAAACACAGTGTTATTTCTCAACTAATATTTCAATATATTGCAGTCTACAGAAACATGTGAAAAACGCTTCAGATGTAGACTATCCAGCGTATGGCGTGACAGGACCAAACAAGGACTGTTCCCCATCGGGAGATAGGCGTCTTGCACAATCCGCTCAAATGTATCATTATCAACATCAAAAGCAACAAATCATAGCTATGGAAAGGTGAGTGGGTTATACATCAGTATGCTGAAAAGGATTTTTAATTGAAAGATATATGATCCATTGAGAATGTCAGAATTTTCGAAAATTCAAATATATGATATATATCTGTAAAAAAATCTGATAGATCTCTGATAGAACTGAATGTATTTGTTACTCGATAAATGAATTCAAAAGCCATAATTTACTTATCGGGGAACAAATACAAATCAAAACACAATAAGACTTAACATTCAATATACTCCACAACTTATCGAGGAAAAAATACAAATCAAAACACAAGAAGACCTAGCATTCAATATACTTCACATTCACACATTCAATATACTTGATTTGTATTTGTTCTTCGATAAGTGAATTAGGGCTTTTGAATTAATTGATTTTTAGGTTTCCTCAGATGTTCATACGGTTCCCTTTATTGACTTGTTTTATGAGTTTGATGTTTTCTGGTGGGAGAAAGTTATGTTTGTTTTGTATGGCGTGTTTGGCGAGGTTTGATTTATATGTTAATGGGTTTCTGTATGCTTTTTTGTGATAAATCTCTAGTAATATTAACCACAGTCTATTCCAGAACTCATGGTTAGAATAAAATAGATCCTGACGGAATACTCCAGGAGTATTCCATAATGTTAGAGATGAATTTGTATACAAACTTTCTTTTTGTCAATAAGTGAATGGTAAACATTTTGAGCATACATTGCAATGGACTAGAGTAGGTTTTGAAAACAGATTATCTTGGAATAATGATATTTATCGTTTGTTTGCAGACATTTAAAATGAACGTAAAACTGCAAATTACTCAGGAATGACTGATCTGATATACAAAAATAAAAAGCGATGGATATTAGATAACTGGAATACCTTTCAAAAGAGGCATCACAAGATCCACCTCCCTGATTCAAAAAGGGTTGGTAGCGCCCCTTCTACGTCTAGTGAAGCAACAATATTGTCTTTCTTAACTAAAAATTATGAAAGTATCACCTTTCCACGTGAATTTTGTCCCACCTCAATATTTTTTTCTGATTGAGAGTAAAGAAAGGCCATTATTTACTTCTACATAGCTACCGGACTGAGTCATGGTCGGTGGGAGAAATCGTATCTTAGTAAAGTTTACATTGATACCTATATGACAAAAAAAGTATTAGAGAAAAAAGGTATAGGTACTTTCGTTCGCAATTTTACATAGTGCGGATTAAGGAATGAACAATAAATGGATCGTTACAACTATTTTCTATTTTCTAGAGCACCGCCTAGTGAAAGAAATGGATCGGTTTCTGAAGCAGAAAGTGACGAAGAAAATGAAGAAGGAGCAGAACCTTTTTTGTATCCAAGAATGAACGAAAAGTTTCCTTACGATGAATTGCCTCGGAATGTACATGAAAATTTTGTTTCCCACCATGAATTGCACTCTAATGACAAAAACTGGAGCGGTTATTTTGACTCCGGGCGATTCAATAATGTGAAAGCAGTTGAAGATCCTACTGATTTTGCTTATGCCCCACCTGATCCGAGATTTTACAGAAGAATAAATGAACCAAATGGAACAGGTGAGCTATGTTTATGAATGAATTTCACCCAACCATTGTTGGGACATTGAATTTATGAATATTTTTTGAAACTCTTTCCTTTTTCATTTTGAACTGAACACGATTAATTCAGATTTTTCAATCATTTATATTCCATAGGGAAATCCACCTACTAATGAATTCTCTTTCATTGTTAACGTTGGTGATGTTGATGTGCATCAAATATACAATGAGAAAAATATTCACGAACGACTATAAAAAATCACCTAAATGAATGTATCCGAAAATAAAATCAAATTTTCACGCTAGTATATCATCGCTTAACCATGACTGAACACAAGTACCAACTGCTAATCACACAAATTTCGTACTGTTCAGAACCTTTGACTTCCCAAATCTCATACAAAAGCCGATAAGCTAACTTCGGGCTTTGTGAAAAACCGAGTCCTAGACGAAGGAAACTAACGTGAATATTCTCGAAGAGTTCCAGTTTGAATGTTATAAATGTAGACGTACTGCACATAAGCAGTAATAAATGCAGACTTAAAAATCATAAAAGCAATAACACAGTTAAATGAGAGATGAATTAACTTCATTCGGTTTGAAAAAACTTACTCTTCTTTAGATTCAAAATCACAAAGTCAATAAGGAAAATCACTGAAGTGACTGAAAATCTATCTATCGTCTATGTATGGAGTTAATAATTTTTTGGAAAATCAATTTTCCACAAGGAAATTACCAAAATCTGAGTATTTTCAAAGATTCCACTTCAATCGCAAGATTATCACCATCTCATTATGCCTCTTATTTTGTCAAAGTCAATTTGTCAGCGAAGTTAAAAATCACCAATCTTTCAAGAATACACAATACAATGCAGAAGAAATCAATGATTGTTATCACTATTATCTGCTATGTATCTTAATAGTTATGAGTAGAATTTGGAATTCTGGCGTAAGATTAATTTATTGAAAAAACTTCTTCCCCACCAGAACGAATATGCTGTGTCGCGACGCGGGTTTCGCTAATATGTTAGCATCATCAGGAGATTATTGAACCCTGATATGATCTACAGTTCCTAACAGTTCACATCACTGTGGACAGCACAAACTTGCTGGATTGAATTTTTTAATGCATCGTCTTCTGACTTTTCTTCTCACACATGAGAGGTTCACAAAAGAAAAACGTACAATACAGGAAATAGCAGCCAGAGATGTTTTTTCGAGGGGTATTGTAGATGATATAGTAAGGATGAAAAAGTTTAGGTTAAAAATGAACGAAATGTTGACTTTAGAAAACGACGAGAACCAAGATAAATATATCTCAGTTCCACACCACCAATACACGGAGAACTTTGAAAATATTTCCAAGGAACTAGGTATGAAGGTGGTTTTCAGAAGAAGTCATATACTACAGAGCCTTTTAGGAAATCCAAAAGACAGAGTCGAGGATTCGGAAAAGTCTGGAATTTACGAAATCAAATGTAAGGACTGCGATGCAAAATATTATGGATAGACAAAAATACTTTTCATAATAAGATATAAGGAACACTTAGCACACCTAAAATATGGAAGAGCAGAAAAATCAGCAGTCGCTCCTCATATTTCGCAACAAAACCATTCCATAGACTTCAGTTCATGAGGATTAGTTAGACAAGTCAACAACAGGCATCCAGATGCCTGTGAGAAAACATGATAATATTATGAATAACAATGTTGGACCAATACCTGATAGTATACTACATCGGTTGTTTATACCTGACTATTACATAAGGACACATTGTAAAATTAATTTAAGACTAGTAGATGAGGCGATATTGTGAAATTAAATTGAGACACTCAAGACGCAGATACCTATAAGAGGTATCTATGGTATAAATAGAAATAACATTGTAAGTCTATTTACTTCAACCTTCCTCTTCGAGATGATCACTTGGTGATCGAAACACGTGTCGATGTGTCAAAATAACGGTTTGGTGTTGGAAAAAAACTCCAGTTATATTCAATACATAGTAGTTCCTATCAATTTCTAATCGATCAATTGGTCGAAACTTCTTTGGAAGAAGCACGATTTTTCTATCTGAAGATTCTTTTTTGGAAAAATGCGATCTTTTCTGGATTTGAACGACAGTAGTAACTATTTATGTTGTAGAAAATTCTAATAACAATATCTACTTATATCTGAGAATATGATTACCTGAAATATCGCTGGTAGGCATGGAAAATGATCATATCCTTGAACAAATGGAGTGTGATTTGGGATAACACGGCGAAAACTTTCAGTTTTGTCCCATGACACCATCTGGTCGATGCCACGATGGAAGAACTCTTATGTTCCTCTCCACAGAACCTCATCAGAAGTCAACTCATCAATCTTATTACCTTGAAAGTGTTTGGATCCATGATAACGAAATCAGATAAAAAATAAGGAACAGAAAAAAAAAAATCAGGTAGTTTTGAGATACCTAAAAATAACCAGTGATAGGATTATAGTAAACTGAACGATACAGATAATATCTGAACTGCAACATCATAAAGCAATAAGGTACGATAATACGAGTAGTACGATATAATTCACGATAAATATAAGGATGAACAAAACAAAATAAAACATCAAAAAGTCAAAAAATATATATCAATTAACAAACGGAACCAACAAATTCGTTACAATCAGATTTGTGGAAAATTGTTATCAACAACTCTAAAAACTGGAATTCATTCGAGGTAAAGAAAAAACTAGAAAAAAAAGTTTGAAAATTCAAATTAAACAACTTTTCGAAAGAATTAGTAGGTTAATTTGTGAAATAAAGTCTTCACCAACTTTTGAGCGAATTGTTAAATGGATGTTTGCAAAACCCTCCCACAGAAATTGGGTTCCAACTTGTCCAACAATCTGATGAATGAATGAATTCAGATGATAAGAAAATTATGTCAAGTTGTGAAAAGAGTAATACTAAAGAGCAATGCTAAATAAGTTGTAGTATCTATGAATTGTGTCGATTGATATTCATTAAATATAGGAAATGTTTCAATTTTTCTACTAATCTTTACTATAGTATTAGATGTGTATTCCTGTCATATTTCAACCATTTATTCATCAATACATCATTAATGATCTTCCACCCAGTTATAATAATCCTCATTAAAATATTTGCCACTACCAATTCAAAGTACGTGAGTGCTGAATTCTATTCGATTTTTTTAAGATTCACCTGAAGAAGAGAATCTGACTGATCTCCAAATGAAAACATCTCCGAATAATGATTTGAAAATGATGCAGAGAAGTGAACTTCCTTTGGAGAATGAATTGGGCAATGATGGGAAAACAGAACTCAAAAGTCAACAGCAAAAACATGAAGGTGTAGAAATGATAGCCGTTCAACATGGTGTACTTCACAGAGATTCAGCAGGGGTATATGTGATTGCAATAGTAGCTGGAATTAGTGCTGCTGCTACGGTTGGACTCATTGCTGTCGGTATTGGTTGGTATAAGTACGTAATTTGCTTCTGATTAGTGATGAATATTTCAAATGTATATTTCAACTAGCCACCCATCCGGGCTTCGCACGGGTGCATTTGCTCACACTAAAAGCACGAGCAGCCGGCCCCGGGCCGGTATCACCGCAACCTCTATGTCTATGCATTTAGAATCTGAGATGTCTTCGGAAATATTCTTTGCAATTACATGCTGTAAAGGGCCATAATTATCTATGTTAAATGCACAATGTATTTAAGGTACTTAATTAGATGAGGATTAATGCTGTATCGCCTAAAATCGCTTCGTAAAAAGTGAAGGATGCAATGAAAGCGCAATAAATGTGTTAAGTACTCACATCACATTAGAAAACTCTGACAATATATTCTGTTAAAAAACTTTTATTATGAGTTATGTATAACGAATATACATCGAATATACATCTTCCCTAAGGCAGGGCTTTACTTCATTTTAATAATGAATTTTCATGTTTTCAACATACATATACAACTTCCCTAAGGCAGGGTTTTTACTTCCTTCCAATAATGAATTTTCATGTTTTTGACATTGGGTTTTCTCATTAATAATCTCATGAAACAGAAGATGATTCTGATCACACTTGCACCATAACTGTTCTCTTTTTGTTCCACACAAAAATATAAACTAACAAACGAACGATCTTTCAAATTGAATCACAGGACAGTTGTCAGTGTCAATTGTTTTTATCTATCTCTGTGGTCTGCAGCCACATGGCTTTTACCAGTAAATTATATTTTTTAAAACATAACGATTCCATTATGTAAATTCAAATAATCTTCCTTGTATCAGTGAGGAGTCAAAACTTCCTTTTAATCTGGTAACTTGTTTTATTTTATTGACATTTTTCAACTATTCAAATGTAACATTTTTTTTGACACGGCCATCCTCACCAACAGTAAGTTGAACCTTTTTTGTAACAAAATTTATATTATTGCATCACATTTTTTTATAGCTCCTCCTTGATAATGATAATAAACTTTATCGAAAGATTGGAATAACTTGTGTTATAAGAGTACACTTCTGTTCTGCTGATCACCCAAAGGTAGTTTCTAAGTTTTCTTTCTAACTAGTCAGTAAAGACTATAGCGCCTTCGTTTCATACTATGAAGTGATATTTTTCTGAGAAAAAAATAACTAATTATATGCAGTTTTCTATAGAAATATTTCTTCTGAAATATTTTCATTCAAGTCAGGTTAGGTTAGGTCCAAAGTGAGTGGGTCCATTCGACACTACACCGCAACCCATAAGGGTTCACTGTGGGGTTTCATCTATTTATACTCGACCAAATAAACCCAGCTTCTCAACAAAGCCGATTAGTTTGTATGGTGAGTGGTCTTTCAGGCCAGATTGTGAAAGTATGGCTCTGCCGAACTCTAAAACAACTTGATTCGGTCCCCAGTGGGACAGTCACAAAGTATGTGCTTTGCTGTTTCATCATTTTCCAAACAGAGGCGACACACACTGTCTTCCGACAGTCTGAGTCTCTGCATATGTAGATTCAAATGACAGTGACTGTAAGAAGGACTGTTAGACATCGTTGTTCATCCCTACTGTAGTCCAACAACTATTTGTTATCAAACTTCGAAGGGTGAAAAAACGGCTTGAAGTGAGCCAATTTTTGAAGAGACTGCCAGAAGTCCATGAATCTTCTTGCCATCCAGGTGTCCAATCTTTATTTGGCAAAGCTTAAAGCGATGCCAATGACAGGTCCTGGTCGAATGAAGGTGCTTGCAGCACCCTCCTTTGCAAGGGAGTCAGCGGCCTCATTGTTTTCCAGGCCAATATGGCCAGGAATCCATCGATCCTTCCTATCGAGGAGAATTGTTTTAGACAATGTGCTACCAATTTAAAAATTGCTCGGTAGGAGCCAAGACCTTCCAACGCCGCTTGACTGTCCGAGAATACTTTTATTGACTTGTATGTTGGATTCTTCCAATTTTTCCGAACACAATTTAATAGCGCAAATTTTTGCTTGAAATACAGTTTGCATAGGTTCCTAGACAAGTTGATATCTCTGTCCTGGGTCTGTGACTGAAAACACCTGCACCAGAACCCAATTTGGGTATTCCAGTAAAAATGTTTTTCTAGATATTCCGTTGTTCCGGCAGAAGGCTGATCCAACAAATTAAAAATCAGTTTATTTCGAGTTATATCAAACCTTTCTTGAGATAGTAAGTTCCAAGTGGTTTACAATATTTTTTGGACGAAGGATTAGACTTTTGTTGTTTAAAAAAATTATTGACGCATTGAAATTCTGAAAGAAGATAAATTCACAAAATATGAAAAGTACCAGGAGCAAAATATTCGAATGATTTTTTTCAAGAAATCGAAAATGAATATGAATCGTAAAAGAATAAACACGTTGATTCAAGAAGAAAACAATGGAAATTAAATTACGAAACAAACTCCAAAAGAAAGTAGCACGAAAAATGAATGATATTACAATAGTTTTTACTTATTAGCATTCCTATTTTTCTACATCACACAATCATCGATAATGGGTACTTCTATTTGATGTTAATTTCTCCTTCATCTAACTCATTTATATATGTTAGTTCTAGTAATTTCTCCGATGACACTCCGTTTAAAAATGTAGTACCTATGGATCTAACTAAATAAATGATGTGCGTATACCAATATTCTTCTGAACATTTTGATAGTTTTTAATTCCTCAAATGCTTTTTAACAGTTGCAATTCTTCTTCTTGAACATCCTTGATATCGAATATTGCTTTCAAAAGTGGATAAATTAATATCTTTTTATTTTGTTACCGCTTCACCATTATAGCAGAATTTGATGTAGACATTACCAAGTGATTAATCATGAATCATTGTCATTACGTGTGAATATTTGAAAATTACTATTCATAGGATCTATGGGATTCCAGTTAATTCAAAATTTTCAAATTTGAATTTTTTGATGTAACATTTTGAATTTATTTAATACAGTACGGAACTGGAAAGTTTAGACAAGAGTTGTTTCAATAAAACTTGTTACTAAGAAATCAATCACAAAACAATTCACTTTCACATCCACATAATAGCCTATTTTTCTCCATGAAAACTCACTTCTTCACTTCGATTTTCAACCTTATCCCAAAATTTGTATACTAGAGAAAAAAATCAGGGAAAACTGATATAATGTAAGAATATCTCTCTTTCAGACAGAGACAAAATATGGTTTCATCTCATGAATCTTCAATCAAATATTGAATAACCTTCAGATTTTATATTTATGATAATGAACTTTTTCATTACATTATTTCTTGATAAACTTCCCCTTTCATGCTATCATCCCATGTGACCAACTCCATATTCATATATCTCGTAATAATCACTACATGTATCTTCCCATCTAACTTGTGATCTTCCATAGATAATTAAGTATAATAGTAATTATCCGAAGAGACTACTGCAGGGTCCCTAAAGTCAATACATAATCTATTAGATAGGTTTCAACTCTGTGACTGAGAGTGAATTGAAGAAGATCTGAATGAAAATGAAAACATGGCAAAAGCCCCGTCCTTTGATTTGCCATGAAATGAAATATATGTCAGACATTACAGGGATACAACCATTAATATTTTATATGAAGGTTCGTTTTTTGTTATATTTATTGCAATAAGAAAAGATTTTCGAATATTCTTCCTGGGGTACCCCCACTGAGAATATAAGGGGAGCCTTCACATGTGAAATTACCTTTTCACACTGTTCCTCCATACCGCTAAAATTTTGGAGGCTGAAATTCTGTATGTAGGTTTGTTTTATGTTATAGATATTGCAGTAAGAAAAGATTTTGGAATATTCCAACTAGAGTGCTAGTCGCGGGGGAGAAAGGCGCGTCTTTAAAACATCACTGTTTCTCCAAGCCCTCAAATTTCCGCTGGGTGAATTGATATTTGATATCAGCAATGTACCAGTGCGGAACCTGGGCCAGTCGCTAGTACCAATAGGAAGTCAGCGATAGGGATGACTGCAAAATATTTGAAATAAAAAACATAACATTTTTCAATTTTCTTTGATAGACAATTGATTCTTTACATGGTACTCGAATTTTTTGAGGAGTAGAAAATATTTTTCGTGGCTTTTCTAGATTTTCAGTGCTCCACAATTTGAAAGATAAACAAAGATAAATGATTAGAGTTCACAATTATTCAGTGAATCTGCCCATTCATTGATTTTGCCACAGTACAAGTTGAATGATCAACGGATTTTAAATACCTAGCTTTCTTTGGATGGTTAACATTTCAAAAAGTAACCTTTTTCCGTTCTTAAAACTTGGAAAATCCACTCTAAAAAAATGCCCTGATTGAAAACAGATAGATTTTCATCGACACATATCAAAAGAATGAAATATACACGCCATTATTTTATAGTCTATATGAATACAAATATGGAATGTTTTCCAAGAATTCAGTTTCGGTTCATATATCCTTTTTCAACTCTTGCTTCAGTTATGATCTATTCCTACAGAGCTCTTTGAAATATATTTGTTGAAAATTGAATGGAGTATATTTTTGGGAAAGACTTTTTTAAAACAGGTTTTGGCTTTCTACTTTTCCATCTTCATACAAAAGAATGGGAAAAACTGTCTTATAAAGTACCGTTCCCGAATANCACCCCTATGAACGACAACGTCAAACAAAAATTCAACGCCTGGATGGCAAAAAGATTTATGGACTTCTGGCAGAATCTTCCAGGATTGGCTCACTTTGAAGCGTTCATTCACCCTCCCGAAGCTTGATACCAAACAGACACTACGGTGTCTAACAGGCCTTTTTACAGGTCACTGTCATTTGAATCATCATATGCAGGGAGGGACTCGGACTGTCGGAAGACAGTCTCACTTCGGACCTAATATAACCTAACCCTAACTCCAAACATTCGTTATGAACTATAATTAGAAAGCATTTACGTATATGCCAGTATATGAAAGAGATAAAATCTCACTGTTATCCTCAAAGTTGGACAGTGATGTTTCTTCAGCACCAATCTGG